TGCAGTATAGCAAGATAAATTTTAGCCAGATTTTACCATAGTCACATTTCTTTTTCTTTCTCAATTGGAAAAAGAGGGTAGATTTATTAAATATATAAACCTATTCTTGGTCTATCAATTTGATGGGGAAAGCTGTCATTGAACTGCATAGATCTGCAGTATGCAGTACTGTAGTCATGAGCTACATCTGACATTGAGCATTTGAAATGTGGCTATCCTCAGCTGTGATATGCTCTAACAATATAATGCAAACTGGATTGCAAACACTTAATACAAAAAAGAATGTAAAAGATCTCAATAGGATTTACATTGATCACATATTGAAATATAGTATTAGAATATGTAGAATTAACTAAAATAATATTAAAATTATCACCGACTTCTTTCTGCTTTTCTTATATGACTCCTAGACAATTTTAAATTTCATTTATGGCTTCCATAGGGGGTTTGCAACATATTTCTATTAAACATAACTGATATATATATTTTATTTCCTGAATGGACCCATGACCCTTTAGAGTTTCTTGCATCATAGTTGAATGTAAGTCTTCTCGTCCATCACTGACTTAAGAAGGACTTTTGGCCAGGTGCAGTGGCTTATGCCTGTAATCCCAGCACTTTGGGAGGCCGAGGTGGGCAGACCATTTGAGCTCAGAAGTTCAAGACCAGCATGACCAACATGGAGAAACTTCGTCTCTACTAAAAACACAAAAAATTAGCCAGGCATGGTGGCACATGCCTATAATCCCAGCTACTCGGAAGGCTGAGGTAGAAGAATCTATTGAACCCGGGAGGCAGAGATTGCGGTGAGCCGAGATCATGCCATTGCATTCCAGCCTGGGCAACAACAGCAAAACTCCATCTCCAAAAAAAAAAAAAAGACTTTTATTCCCTCCCACTTTCTCCATCTGACTAATTCTGCCTCAAAACTCTCTTAACCATATAACCTAGACATCAAAGTCCATTGATATAGAAATGATATTAATGTCCTAATTTTGGCATCACAAATGCACTACAGGGTCAACAGGAAGAAGATAAATGAATTGGGAAGGTATCAGCTTTAGACAATATGAACAGTTGTCACTTGGATTCAGAAAAAACACAACACTGAGGCCGGGCACAGTGGCTCACGCCTATAATCCCAGCACTTTGGGAGACCAAGGCAGGTGGATCACTTGAGATCACGCATTCGAGACCAGCCTGGCCAACATGGTGAAATCCCTCTCTCTACTAAAAATACAAAAATTAGCTGGGCATGGTGGAACACACCTGTGATCCCAGGTACTTGTGGCTGAGGCATGAGAATCACTTGAACCCAAGGAGGAGGAGGTTGCAGTGAACCAAGATCACGCCACTACACTCGTGCCTGGGCAACAGAGAGAGACTCTGTCTCAAAAAACCAACAAACAAAAACACAGAAGAAAACACAACACTGAATAAGATCTCTGTTTGCAGTGGGAAAATTTATACAGTAATTAACTGACAAATCAGAAGTCACAGGAGCTATCCAGTCAGTGACAAATGTGAGAAAATGATTCCCGCATGCCTAGGTCTGACTACCTTCCCTAAGCAACAAACTCTCTTTCACAGGCAAACAGGTAGGCAGCTGATTTTAATAAGAGCGCGCATAAAAACCATCTGGAAGGTAAATAGATTTACATTTTTAATCTGACGTTATTGGAACGTTTTTCCTGCACAGTGAAAACTCCACCTTAATAATTTAAATTGTTTTTCTCGGTGTACCTCAGCCTACTTCTTTTAAACACCTCTTCATTTTAAGTTAGGTTCTTTGGGCTTGATTGATTTTAGTGTTTAAAAGCTTAATTTCAGGCACTGTTGGGTTGCTAACCTGAGACTGCTGTGTGGGTTTGTAGTTCAACTTGGGCGGGGGAGGGGGTGTGGCAGGGGTGATGGGTTTTGCTGAGCTTTCAGTGAATTCCCACACTCACCTGGAAGGGAGTGAACAAAAGGGACAGGGAAGGGAAATTATCCTACAGCTTTCAGGGCCCTGCAACATATACATAATAAAAACGCAGAATAATAGGTATCATTTGCTTTTGTGAGGCATTGATAGCGGTTCCTTAAAAATAGCTAGTGCTCTCTTGTCGTCCAAGCTAGAAATGTGGGTAGAAGCCTAAAGCCCTCACTTTGCTTGACTCCCCTGCTTCATCAGTCACCAAGATTTGTAGTCCCAGGTTAGCATGTTTAATGCCTTTAAATCCAAGTCACCCCTCTCCCTCTCCCTCCCTCTTTCCGTTCCTTAGTTCACACCTCCATGTATCTGTGCTTGAGTTACTTCAGCCGCCTCCTTACTGGCCTTTTCAGGTCTTGTCTTGTTCCTGTTCAATTTGCTTAAAAGCTCCATGACTCCCTGTTGCTGATAGGACAAGCTCAGGCTCCTTAGCCGAGTATATCCTTTATGATCTGCTGCTGAGGCTGATGACCATGGGGTGGGAGGCAGAGAAAAGGATGAAGAGTAAGACCAGAGGGTTGGGCAGGAAACTTTTAGGGATGTAAAGAAGTTTAGTCATTATCCTGTGAGCAACGCGAAATCACAAATGCTCAGGGTTTTTTTCTGTTGTTGTTTTGAAACAGAGATTTTGCTCTTGTCGTGCAGGCTGGAGTGCAATGGTATGATCTCAGCTCACTGCAACCTCCACCTCCTAGGTTCAAGTGATTCTCCTGCCCCAGCCTCCCGAGAACTGGGATTACAAGCGTGTGCCACCATGCCCAGCTAATTTTTGTATTTTTAGTAAAGATGTGATTTTACCACGTTGGCCAGGCTGGTCTCAAACTCCTGACCTCTGGTGATTCACCCACCTCAGCCTCCTAAAATGCTGGGATTACAGGGGAAAGCCACCGTGCCTGGCTACAAATTGTCAGTTTTAAGCAGGGGGATGGCATGAACAGATTTGCGTAGTGTTTAAAAGCAAGGGTTCTGGAATCCAATCTAAATTCAGATCTGACCATGCCACCTAGTTGTATGTCCTTGGGCAACTTACTGAAGCTTTCTGGACCAGTTTCTCTGATTATAAAATGACAGTTAAAACCGCTGTGAGATAGGCACACTTTATGAGCACTAAATGAGGTCATGCTTTGCATACTACTTGGCACACAGTAATCATCCCACTATTTTGTTTTTTATTTCCACAGTTTTGGGGGGAACAGGTGTTATTTGGCTACATAAATAAGTTTAGTGGTAATTTCTGAGATGTTGGTGAACTCATCACCTGGGCAGTATACACTGTTCCCAATTTGCAGTCTTTTATCCTTCACCCCCTCCCACCCTTTCCCCTGAATCCCTAAGTTCTTTGTATCATTCTTATGACTTTGCAACCTCATAGCTTAGCTCCCACTTATGAGTGAGAACATACAATGTTTGGTTTTCCATTCCTGAGTTACCTCACTTAGAATAATGATCTCAATTCCATCCAGGGTTATTCCAGGGTTATTGGGGAATGTATCATTCTCATTCCAGGGTTACTGGGGCATGTTTCACCAGGTTGCTGTGAATGCCATTATTTCTTTCCTTTTTACGGCTGAGCAGTATTTCATGGTATACACACACCACCATTTCTTTATCTAGTCATTGATTGATGTGCATTTGGACTGGTTCCATATTTTTGCAATTGTGAATTGTAAGCACCCCACTAATTTTAATTATCATTATTATTAATAATTCCTACTCTTTCTATGCTTTTTCTAACAAGCCCTCAAGACGGGTCAGCCCTGTTCCCATGTGCTTTTATAACACCTTGCATTTATCCCTGTTTGCAGGACTTCTGAGTCTGTCTCTTAATTGACCATGAATGTGTTATTTCCCCCATCAATCCATAGCTCCCTACAGTCAGGAACTATGGCTGATGCGTGGTAATGAATGACTACCTGAGATTGCTTTGTACTTCGATTCACAGTATCTCTTTTGTTCTCTCCTATCGCCACTTTACAGTTGTGATAACAAAGGCTCAGAGAAGTCAAGTTTTAAGCCCCAAGTCCTTCAGTGAAGGAGCATCAGAACGGCAACTCATCTCAGTCCTGTGGATTGCACCATGGCCTGGAGGGAAAAGTTCAGGGCAATATTACCCTCCACAAACAACCTCCTGAGAGCAGGGCGAGTGTTTTCACAAAGCTTCATGGAATGTCAAAGTGCAGAAATAAAACACTTCAGCTGGAAAAATAACACATCGCCAGAAATCAACCCCAATCCTACCAAAAATAATAATGCCAGGAAACGGAGCTACATACACAAAAGGGAATGTGCACCAGGATACACGTAAAAAGTCACCTTGGCAAAGCTGATATCCTCCTGGCCAAGCCAGAGGAGTGATTCAGTTTAAGAGAGAATTGGAAGGAGGACATGTGCCCTTGCTAGTCCATCTGAAGAAGTGTGCCAACCCACCCTGCAATGTTCAAGTCCCTGCCTTATAATCATAAGCCTGATCATAGCAAAAATGTGGAGTGGTTACAATGAAAATTTCCAAGGTAGAAAAAGATCAGTTCTTGGTAATACTAGAAGCTGGTTGCATAGGCCAGTGGCTCAAATCTCACAGTGCAGGGCCAAAGAAGCCAAAGTTGAGGTTGATACTGGTACGGGCCAGTTGGCTTTGCACTGAGGAGGAAAAAATTCTATGGTCAACGTTCATCCCACTCAGTCATCTTGCCAATGTTGGTGTTTGGGGTCAAAAATGGATTGGGGAAGAGTGTGGAGGACCTGATGCCAGTGTTGACAGGCAGGGCTGACATTCAGACAGAGTACACCAACACAGACAGCCAACTGTCGAGTAATAAAACACCTCTGCACTAGTTGGGGGCTGATCCCCCTGGGTGCGTCCCATATCACCCCAAGTGCCTCTGGATTAAAGCCTCATGCAACTAGTTGATGGCCCATCTTTTGAATATCATTTCTGATTACAACTACTAGGAAATAGCAAATAACTACCATTCATTCACTATTCATTTGCTCAATTCTTTGGGGAGGGGCATGCATGCTACTTTTTTACATTGATACATAACATTTTACATATGCATGGGATACATGTGATATTTTGTTACGTGCATGGAATGTATAATGATGAAGTCAGGGTTATTGGGGCATGTATCACCTTGAGTATCTATCATTTCTATGTACTGGGAACAGTTCAAGTCCTCTCTTCTAGCTACGTTGAAATATATAATACACTGTCCTTAACTACAATCACCCTGATGCAGGGCAGATGAGCCCCAAAGTGGGGCTTAGCCCTTGAGGGTTCTTGGTTTGCCCAGGAAAAAATTCAAGAGCAAGCCAGGGGTAGAAGAAAAGAGTTTTATCAATGCAGCAATGTTATAGTGCCGGTGGTGTGACTGCTCCTGCAGAACAGAGCTTCTCTGTACGCAGAGTAGCAGCTCAGGGCAGTTCTGCAGTCACATTTATAACTATTTTTAATAACATGAGATTAAAGAACAATTTATGCAGAAATTTCTAGGGAAGGGGTAGTAGATTTTGGGTCATTGGGTCATTGCCACAGAACGGGGCAATAACTCCCGGTGTTTCCATGGTGATGGTAAACTGACCTGGCACACTGGTGGGTGTGTCTGATTGGAAAGCTGCCCCAACCCTGGCCCTGTATTAGCTAGTCCCCAATCTGGTCTGGTGTCCGAGCCCCGCCTCTGGAGTTGAGTCCCACCTCCTACTGCAACCCTACTCTGCTATCCATTATTAGAACTGCAATCCCAGCACTTTGGGAAGCCAAGATAGCATGAATTATTTTTCTCGTTTTCAGAAGAAGAATCTACACCTTATTAAAAGTTGCAGTTAGGAAATAGCTGACAATTCAAACTGTGTTGTCCAAATCCTTAATCTTAATCTAAGCTTTAAACCATGTTAAAATGTCGCCTATACTGAAACTTCAGAAAGAAAGCAAACCAAATAAAACAACTATTTGGGGATGGGGTGAGAGTGAGGCAGAAACAATATTAGGGAATTTTTATACACTCACACATCCTCTTTGTGGAAATATAGAAAGACAGGAAAACGTCTTGTAATGTCTTAAGGAGACAGAATTATGAACAGTTTCCTATCCCAAAACTCTCAAATATACATAAAATTTTGAAAGCACATGTGTTATCCATTATTCCAAGGAAAACCCAACACATATTGAGGCCACTGATGCTTCATGCCACAGCTCCAGGAAGGCTGAGGACCAAATATTTAGCATAATTCTTCATACTGTGATTCTTCTTGGCTTGGATTTTCAAGAAATTGAGAACATTGCTTTCTCTGAAGCAAAATAAAACTGTTTTGGATAAAGTTAAAGACAGATGACATTTAGAGTGATAAGCAGAGCTGATATATCCATGTTCAGCCAGTACTATCTACATTCAGAGTGAATGAGAACCAAAAATTTGGAATGGTTTTATTAACAACTCATCACACTATGAGAGCGTGGGGTAATATTTTGTATGTGATATACCAACTGTCTACAGAGCTAAGCAAACCCAGAGATCACAGACTTTAGTCTCCTGTCTAAGTTCCAAGTAAATGGTCTTTAGGGAGACACCAAAAATAATGGCTGAGAAAATGACATGGTTCCTCTCATCAGAGCTCTTTTGGCTCCCTCTGATCATTGCTGCTCCCTGTTCTCACCATCACTTTGATTTCACTGGATGACTCCATAAGTGAAGTTGGAGCTTGTGAGTCATGACTGAGACTGACTTGGTTGCTTGCATTTTCTGCCTCTGAGTCCTCCTGTTCATGTTTTCTCAAGCTTGGTGTCTGTCCTACTTTAAATAAGAGGACAATGGGGCAGCTGACATATTTCCTGCAGAGACTGTGCCGCTTCTTGGTAAATCACAATCAGAAAGCTTCTGCCCATACTTTCTCTTCTAAGGGAAGGAAAAAACAGAGAGAACCATTAGGATATGTTTGAAAGATCTAAAATACCCAAAAAGGAAGGGCTATGTAGGGTTGTGGCAATAGAAAAGCTAGTATGGTTTACATGGTTTCCATTACATAACCCTATCAAGGCCATTACCCCATAAGATCAGTCCTGAGGGGGGGTCCAATTTAATAAATTCCAGTCTAAACAGGCAAAAAATAACTTACATGGCATTCTTAATTGGAGTCTTCCAGAAATTAAGAGGAACCTGATTTTTGAAATCTTACACATACTCAACATATTTCACAATTATTTTTCTCAGTTTTCTTACACTGCACTGTATGTAAGTAACCCCTTCTTGCAAATTCCTGGAAACATTTATTACGATCTTTTGTTCAGCAAATATTCACTTCCTTTCCCCGTCCCACTGTGGGAAGAGGAGACTTTCCAGCCCATTGATGTTGGGCTAAGCCATGTGACTTTCTTTGGCCAAAGGAGTATTAGCAGATCTAACATTGCAGAGGTCTTAAATTTGTTTATGGGTTTTGGTCTGACCTCTTATGCTCTGGTAATCTACCATGAGGATATGCCCTGGGTATTTTCTGCTCTATCCATATGTGTCCCAAACCATGCATACATGGGGCAGACATGAACCCATTCACAACTTGGATCCAGTCCAGTCAGATCCACAGCTTCATGCAGAACCACCCAGCTGAGCCCAGCCCAGCCACAGTCAGTCTAACTGTAGCCAACTGTAGACCCATGTGCAAGAGAATAAACGTTTGTTGTTAGCCACTGGGTTTTGGGTGGTCTGTCAATGGTCAGTGTGTCTCTCTGTTCTTCTCCTCTCTTATTCCCCCAATTCTAATTCACAAAGCCCTGAAGTATGGCAAGCTTCTCCTTCAAAGGAGAGAGAAGGGAGAACAATATGATGAGGCAAAATCAGGATCTTCTTTAACACACATAGGGAAAAGGAAAAGGCTGGAATTATTCATGTATTGATAATTTCTAAACTGTGACACCTGTGATAATAGCTAACATTTGACAGGCTCGGTGTTAAACCCTTTATAAACTTGAACATATTTAATCCACCGGATAGCCTAAGAAGTCAGAATAAATGTCACCATTTGCTAGGAAAAAAACCCTGAGGCTTAGAGAGGTTACGTATTTTGTTAGAGGGTACCAGAGCTAGGATTTAAATACTCGGATTTAGGCAAATCCCAATAATTATTGAGCGACCTAGGCAGTCAACCAGTCTTAAAATGAAATACCATTCTTTAAGGCAACAAATTGACAAAGATTAGGAACATTCTAATACTGAATATTGGCAAGAATACCAGAGAGACATCTTATAAAATACAGGTGAGAATGTAAATTGGCGCTAACATTTTGGAAAGTAATCTGACAATATTTATCAAGAGCCTGAACATTTGCATATCCTTTGAACCAGTAATCCCACTTCTCTGATTATATTCTAAGGAACTAATCAGAGATGCAGCCGAAGTTTCAAGTACAAAATTGTTCTTCAAGACGTTGCTTATCACAGTGAAAAATTGGAATCAACCGAAATGTAAAATTGTTGCAGGATATTTAAATAATTGGTATTGCTACAGGCTGGAACAATATGCAACCATTAAAAATTGTATTTCAATGACAGGAGAAAAAGTCTTCAATAACTAAGTGAAATAAAAGCAGGATATAAAACTGAATAGAAAGTGTGACTCTGGTTTCAAGAGTGTGCTTGTTCATCTGTATATGTGTGTGATAATAAAATAGAATAATAATATTATTATTAATAAAATATAAATAATAAAATAATAATAAATAAAATAATAAATAATAAAATAAAATAATAAATAATAAAATAATATTAGCATCATGCATTATTTCTGCATGATGTTTTTTTTGTGTGTTTTTGTACCTTTTCATGATTTCTCAAGGTATTGAATAAGCAAGTGGTACTTTTGTATCTAGAAAAATATACTTAAAATGATTATTTTTAAAAATAGCAATTTTTATCCCTATACAATATAAGCACAAGGACAAGTCTTTATCTGTTTTGTTCAGTGATACATGCTCAGAATAGTGTCTGGCTCCTAGTATGTGTTCAGTAAATATTTGTTGAGTAAATGAAAGTTATACCCTGTGGTGTATGCAAATCTATTGTGTGAGTATAGGTTATCTGTGGTTTCATAAATAACCATTCTCAAAACAGCAACTATTGTAATAGGCGCATGCATTCTGTGGGCCAGGAGGTCAGACAGGACAAAGTGGGGTGCCTTATCTAGTTCCATGTTATCTGGAGCCTCAGCTGGGAAAAATGTGTGCATTAATCTGCACTTGCTGCCATAACTATATTTTTATTGATTTATTCATTTTTGTATTTTATTTAAGACAGAGTCTCACTCTGTCACCCAGGTTAGAGTATAGTGAGTGGCACTATAGTGAGTGGCTCACTGCAGCCTTGATCTCCTGGCCCCAAGTGATCCCCCCAGTGATCCCTCCGCCTCAGCCTCCCAAGTAGTTGGGACTACAGGTGCACGCCACAACACCTGGCTAATTATTATTATTATTATTTTCTGTATACGTGGGTGTCCCACTCTGTTGCCCAGGCTGCCTTGAAATCCTGGGTAGTGATTCTCTCACCTCAGGCTCCCAAAGTGCTGAGATTACAGGTGTGAGCCACCATGCCTGGCCTGGCTGCCCTAACTATGGCTGTCATAGAATGGGTGGCTTAAACAACAGAAATTTATTTTCTCACTGTTCTGGCTGCTGGGAAGTTCATGATCAAGGTGGCAGCTCATTTGGTTTCTGGCGAGGGCTGTATTTCTGACTTGCAGGGGGCCCCTTCTTACTCTGTCCTCATAGATTTGAGAGAGAAGAAGGAGTTCTCTGCTGTCTCTTCTCAGTAAAACACCGATTTTATCAGACCAGGTCCACCCTACCCGCCGTCATGGCCTCATCTAACCCTAATCATCTCTCAAAAGTTCCATCTCCAAATATCATTTTTTGGGGATTAGGGCTTTGACATATGCATTTTGAGGGTACACAAACAGCCCATAACAACTGAAATTGTTGAATAGCTGAAAGTGACTTGAAATGTTAGCAGCAGAAACAGCCTGGAGAGCCTGGGTGTGGTGGCTTACACCTGAAATCCCAACACTTTGGGAGGCCAAGGGGGATGGATCTCCTGAAGTCAGGAGTTTGAGACCAGCCTGGCCAATGTGGTGAAACCCCCTCTGTACTAAAACTGCAAAAAATTAGCCGGGCATGGTGGCAGGTGCCTGTAATCCCAGCTACTCAGGAGGCTGAGGCAGGAGAATCACTTGAACCTGGGAGGCAGAGGTTGCAGTGAGCCGAGATCACACCACTGCACTCCAACCTGGGCAACAAGAACAAAACTCTGTCTCAAGAAAGAAAAAAGAAAAGAAAAAAATTGCCTGGAGGCGTCTGCCTTCATATGCCTGGGATCTGGGACAGGATGACTCTGAGGCTGGACTCAGCTGGGACCATTGGCTGAAACATCAACACTTTCCATCCAGCCTGGACTTCACATTAGATTTTGCATGAGTCCACAATAAACCTTTGCTATGCTAAGCCACTAATACTTCGGGTTGATTGCTGCAGTGTAGCCTACCTCATCCTGGACTAACAGAATGATTTTCAAATACACAGCTATTTAATGTAATGAGATAAATCCTGTTAGCCTAGAGGCTAGCCTGAGGAATGCCTTTCCTTTCCACCATGGGCAATCTGGAAAGCTGAGCTTCGGCTCTGTGAGACACAGGAGATATGCATAACACGAACCAGGGTGCTAGCCTTGTCATGCCGTTTATAAGCAGCGTGGCCTTGGATAAATTACAGAATCTTTCTAAGCCTCAGTTGTTTCACCAGTAAAATGGGAAGATGATTATAACACTTATCTCAGGATTGTGAGAATTAAATGGGATGAGGTATCTATTATATGGCACTGGGTACAGCATAAGCACTTATTAAATATTAACTATTATATTACTTATATTATTATATAGTCCACAATCTCTTGAACTGAAGGCTAGGATGGTGTCAGCTATGCACAGTTGAAAAAAAAAAAAAAGGCGCAGTAGCTCCTGCCTGTAATCCCAGCACTTTGGGAGGCTGAGGTGGGTGGATCACAAGGTCAAGAGATCGAGACCTTCCTGGCCAACATGGTGAAACCCCATCTCTACTAAAAAAATACAAAGAATTAGCTGGTCGTGGTGGTGCACACATGTAGTCTCAGCTATTCAGGAGGCTAAGGCAGGAGAATCGCTTGAACCCGGGAGGTGGAGTTTGCAGTGAGCCAAGATCACACCACTACACTCCAGCCTGGATGACAGAGCAAGACTCCATCTCAAAACAACAACAACAACAACAAAACCAGTTGAATCAGAACATCCAGAGAGAAGATTGAGTATCTTTTGAGTTTGGTTAGGGCTGAGAGGCAAAAGGAGGCTTTTGAACTCTTAAAGCCACAAACCAGAAGTGAGGAGAAAGGCCCCCCGTTTTGATATATTAAATATCTACTTATGTATACACCACCTGGTTCCATGTAAAAAGAGAGAGGAAAGCAGATTTCATGCCATCTAATTTTCTGGCAACAAAAACAGATGCTAAAACAAGGATGGGACGTAAAATAGAAACAGAAAGTAGCTCCCAGAAAAATCTTACCACGGGAACCTCGCTGCAGACTCTAGCCGACTGTGCAAAAAGTGCAGCCGTGGTGGTTACACAACCTCGCAAGGTTGCACAATCCCCAGGTTCTTCACCGCCCAGTCACGCCATTGCCAAGGCGTGCTCCCAAGGGAGGGACTGGGAGGCATGCCGCTGGCAAAGGTGACTTGAGTAAGGTGCTGGGTGTTGTACTTAGCACTGTGCCATAGGTGCTGAGTGACCCACAGATTCAAGGTGTGGCTGCCGGGCCCCATGCTGGGGGAGGGCAGGGGGACCCTGAGAGAGAGAAGGATCCCATTTGTGTCTTTATCGCCATCACTCCAATTCAGAGGAGAGAATGTCTGAAAAAATTCTCTCTAGCTTACACTTTTTAGGCCGTTTAATTTTTTATTGTTGAGTAGGACCAATGAAACAGAGCAGTTTCCTGTTTCTTGGCCCCAACCCCGCGCCATCGCTGAGGAATTTGAGTTTAAAACTGCCGGAGAGGAACATTTAAATTCTATAAGTTAGCTTCACTAAAGATGCTTAAGCGTTTATGAAAACATTCCCATTTTACACTCAGCTTTATCAAATCTTAAAGAAAAAAAAATCCCAAACTGCCATGTGAAGCTAAGCTGGCAGAGAGAGCGATCTGCTCAGTGCAAATAGCCAACAGCTTTACAAATGAGGAATATGGAATCAGGATTAAGGGCCGCCAGATCATTTATCAGTGACAAAACAAAGATTCTTAGCCTCTAGACTCAGAGTCCACGGAGACTCTCATGGGCTACGTCGCATGACCCAGAAGCAGTGTGCAGTATTAACTCATTTATACCGACATTAATTCTGGCAGCAGGGAACCCCACTGTGCCTGCCTCGGTGCCCAGAAGAGCTATTTTAGTGTAAAACAGAACTTGGCTTCAGGGAAGTCCTGAGTTTAAATCCTGGTTTAGTTACTAACAGGCTGCTGACATTGAACAATGGAAGTTATAATTGGAAGACTTAGTTTCCTCCTTTGAACACTGGAGAGAATAATAACACGCAGGCACTCAATAAGGGATAATTTCCCTGATATCTTCACTTCTAGACAAACAGAATAAACATAATAAAACTACAGAGTGGTTGCATCAAATGTACATTTAAATAAACGTGTTTGGGCACACACTCCCATTCCCACCACGAAAAAGAGTGTGCCGAAGAAAGAAAATGAGACCCCAGTTCTTTTTTCTCCTATATCTACTTTTCTTATTTTTCTGATGATACCTGGGCCTTCTATGCCGCTGGGAGACAAAAAGGTCAGAGCCAAAAGCAAAGAGAAACTGACGACATTAATTTTGGTTCCTGATTCTGAGGGTTTAGGTTTAGAAATAATTTTGACTCTTGGCTTTATAGAAATTTCCCCTTAAGTGTTTATTTTAAAATCTGTGACTCCCCCCCCGCCGCACCCCCCAGTCCCCTTCAACAAACATACAATTCTAATTACTCTTTTAACCTCCAAGCAGCAGGGCACAGAGGAAGGAAGACTGACATTGTCTGGCTGGGGGACCACAGTCGTCTAAATTCCAAGCCCCTTCAAAGAGATTAGAGCCAAAATGGAAGTTCTTGTTCACTACAACTTATTAAAATGCTATACGTGTTTCCAGTTTTCTTCTGCCTAATTTGCATCTTTTCTGTCCTTCAAAATTAAGTGGTCACCCCAATGGATAAATATCATCTCTGAAGCGATATTCTGAGCAGTGCTTAGAGATTAGACTTTCCAAGGACGAATGCTTGATTTAATAACTATCATTGCCAACTATGCGTTATCACTATTTGCACAGTTTTACCTTTAATATGACACATTTATTTTCATGGCATTTCATTACAGTCTCCATGGACAATGGCTGGAGCAGAGAGGAATTCTCAGGTTTTTGGGTTTTTTTTGAGACCGAGTTTTGCTCTTGTTGTCCAGGCTGGAGTGCAATGGCACCATCTCTGCTCACTGCAACTTCTACCCTCTGGGTTCAAGCGATTCTCCTGCCTCAGCCTCCCAAATAGCTGGGATTACAGGCCCCTGCCACCACGCCCAGCTGATTTTTTGTATTTTTAGTAGAGATGGGGTTTCACTATATTGGTCAGGCTGGTCTTGAACTCCTGACTTCATGATACGACCACTTCAGCCTCCCAAAGTACTGGGACTACAGGCATGAGCCATGGCACCTAGCCTAGGAATTCTCAGTTTTAATGCTTGCTTAGTGATATGCTGGGTCAGCACTTTTTCTTTCTTTCTTTCTTTCTTTCTTTCTTTCTTTCTTTCTTTCTTT